AAATTTTAGCTGGAAGATGTTGTTCGTTGCTTGCTAGAAAAAGATACCAGCGCACTGGGTTTCCAAATAGTCCAAAGATCGGATGGTATATGTATCAGTTATGTTGAGCCTAATGGTCCGGCTGATCGTTCCGGAAATATTTTCGTTGGTGTGTTTTTTTTTTTTTTTTATGACGAATGAAATAGAGAAATATAAATTTTACATCGATTTTATTTAGAAATAAAATAACGTTCGAAAAATTTATACATTACTAATTTTAAACGTAGAAGAGTTTATTAAAAAAATTAAAAAAAAATTTTGGTAAGTTAATTAAAATAAAAAAATAACACTACTAAAATAAATGTCGAAGAATTTATAAAAAAAAATCAAAGTTTATAAAATTAAGTTAAAAAGTTTTGCATAATTGCGATTAATTATAAATTTCAGACAAATATTATGGTGCATAAAATATTTCGGATCATTTTATTAGAAATTGATGAACAATTAATTGTTTAAGTAGTAATTAATTCCGGTTAAATGTCTAAGTTCCTGAAAGCTTTTTTTTTTTCAACTTCAGATAGATATTATAGCGCACAGAACACTATGTGATACGACAATGATTTCGATTTTTCCAGGTGACAAAATAAAAGAATTAACAATAGCCTTTGAGAATATGCCAATTAGTGATGCGTTGACAATTCTCAGCTGTGCCTCAACCTATAAAGTACGATTTATCACATTGTTTACTTTCTATTCAAAATATATGAATTTGAGTTATTTACGAATATACGATTAAAATTAAGCGCAGATTACAAATATTGAAATTTAAAAGTAAGATTGAATTGAACCGGAATTTAAATTTAGATTTAAATAAAACTTACAAAAATATACTTTATAATTTTTGATATTGAATGTGATTATATAATTTGCGTATGTTTTCGAATTTTTTCGAAAAATTCCTAGAATTTCAGGAAAATTATTGAAAGCAATTTGCAGATTCGGTTAGAATTAGAGAGAGCCATAATTAATGATGCTGCCCAGTCAGATTGTCCAGAAACAATAGAACATGCTGATACCTCGTCAAATTCCATTCAACAATTTTCTACTCTCTGTAAAAGTTATTCGACCTCGGATTTGGTTCTACGATTACAAAAAGCGCAAATGTGTGTCCTTGAAAAATTCTTTCCGTTCAGATCAAAAATCATCATTGAAAATATTATCCATCGATTTATAGACTTGAAAAAAACAACAGACTAATTCAGTTCATTTCTTTCTTATTAAGGTTCGATAAGGCTGTAAGTGGCGGAAGCTTCATGTCCAAACAGAAATATCAACTTCCACGACAAACCGTAATAAATACCATTAAGGAAGAACCGCCATCGACTCCTGAGATTCCTGTGACTTTAGCGTCATCTAACCCATCCTCAGATTCCACAGAAAAGACTGAATCGATACCGGTTATGATGGGATCAGTAATTAGTGAAGAAACCATAGTAATTAATGATCCACTGCCAATTTTGAGAAGCCTTCGAACTTCTCCAAACGAAATATCTCCTCAACCACAAAACTCGCCCTGTGTTATAACTTCTGAAACTTATCCAAAATCAGATTCCACGTCTAAACCAACAAACATATTACGACAGCAATCAACTCCACAGATTCCATCGTCATATAACGAGCAACCCTTACTTCCGCTGATACCACAAGAAAACCATAAAGTAGATGAAATTAATTGCAATGGGTTTTCAGAATTTGTTGAGGTAAGTTTTCGTAATGATAATAATTCGTAATGAAATTAAAAAAATTTAATGAAAGCTTCTGAAAACTATTAAAGTAAAATAAGAGTAAATTAAAAGAAATTTAATACTACCAAGCGATAGCTGAATTCACAGGAAATTCTCTTATTAGTTGAACATATGGAAAGATATAACCTCTAATACCAATTGATTCTCATAATCCATCATTCAATAACTCTTTTTAGTATAAGTAAACTTGTACATTCATTTCCGATTGCGTATTAATTCCTATGAAAGAATTTAATGTCACTTGCTTGATGTGACAATACCTGTCAAGTTTTAGAAATACTTAAACTGAATACTTCGTTTATCCTTCCATTTTTAATTATTTGCGCTTTCTTTTCATCATTTCCTGAATCAAATTTAATTAATACAATTTTTAGCGATCCCATTACATCTATTCAAATGCAAATATCAAAGATGGAATTAAAAAAAAGTGTGTCGAATTTTGTGAATTAATTGAGCCAAAACGTGGCTCAATTGTGATCGAATTTGAAGAGGATCAAGGAGGAGATGATTGTTGTCAACAAAGTGATGAAGAAATAATTAACCTGCCGAATTGTATTGGTACATTTGATGAAGCAAAAAACAATTTACATCAAGCTAATTCTAATATCAACAATGCCGCATCGGTAAAAATACCGCCAATAGTAGATGATGGATCAAATAGTCAAATCATTTATGCAAATTACGTTGAAAAAGATACTGTATCCGGTAATACCTTGAATGTAACTAATGTAGAACGCAACATTTCCCATCATTCAGTTGGTAAGATTGAAGCATCAGACGACCACACTAGTAGAGCAGGTGTTATTGAAAGTAAATCCGGTAACGATACCCGATTTTCAAACAATCCTGAACAAGTTGCAGACATAATACCATCATTAATACCCAGTCATACAGAGGTGAATGAACTTAACGGTAAGCAAATGATGGAAAGTATTACACCAATTGTCGCATCACCGACAATTCCTCAGATGACAATTAGTGATGATACACTTTCAAGTGAAAACAATCAAAGATCAAAATGTAGTCAGTTGAAAAAACTATCCGGTAATTATGGGATTAATGAAGTTAATGAGGGCAAAGAAGTGAGGAAAGTAAATGGCACTGCTAATGATTTAAAAGATGAAAGCAACAACAGGAGTAGCATACCACAAAGGTGACCTTTTTTGACATTCGATTATATTTTATCAATTATATCAATTATTTACAATCTCTATTCAATCAAATCCCAATGAAGATTCTTTAAATTTTGATATAATGCATAATTTTAAATCAATTATAGAAGTGCAAAATGGAGTCCAAAACTTCAGTCACATATTCCGATTGTTACCAGGACACCATCAACAAAATCTAAACGAAAACTTTCAAAAGCGGAAGATACTAAAGTTATGAGCAATTCCGCACGTAGTAAAGTGATCGATGATACTTTAAAGGTAGTAATTTTTGTCAAATTTTATTCTTGCAATCAATAGTGTTACAACTTTCTGTTGAATATCAGACTGATAAATTTTGGTTAAGAAGAATTTTCAGTTCGTACTTCATGCCATCTATTATTCTATTACGATTTTCAGAAAAATCATAAATTTAATAGTAAAATGAAAGTTTCGAAAATTATTGAAAAGCAATTAGCTAATGAAATATTTCATTAAGCTATAAAATTTCTTTATATTTTCAAATCAAATTGAATTTGTAATTTTATTGGAATTGAAAACAAATAATTGGTTTTTTTTCTATCCAAGAATTGCTAGAAGTAAACAAAGGTAAGTTGTCCTTCCATGTAAACAAGGAAAAATGAAAATTTCAATTTTACAGAATGATATGAATGGCGCATCATTGTATATTGCAAAGAAAGAAGCTCTACGAAAGACTTATCTTCCATTTTCAAAAATAAACAAAAGGTAACATCATGATTAGCATAATTTACTATTAATGATCAACGATACTTCAGATATTATTTAATTAATACCTGAATCTAATCCATCCTAAACCACAATTTATTATATTTGTTTTCAAAATTAATTCTTGCTCTTTTTGGTAAAAACTCAATTACAAAATTTAAAACTTGAAAAGAGAAATTAGCATTGCGACAGTGTGCTAATTCGGCCAAAGATATTTTGGTAAAAGATAAAAGATATTCTAATCCAATTAAAGGTATTCGATATTTCGGTAAATATGCTCGATAAAAGCTTAAATGTAAAATTTAAAACTTGAAAAGAGAAATTAGCATTTTGACAATAATGCTAATTACAAATGAAGAATGAAACTTGAACTTCACAGTCATTTATAAAAAATTTCATGAACTTTCAATGAACTTTTTCCTTTTTTTCTGCGTGGACTAAAACTAAAAAATTTACTAAAAAATTTATTACATCTCAACTTTTTTTTTTTTTTATAGTGAAGAAGTGGATTTGAATAAGGAGCGGAAGGCTCGATTGGAAGCCAATCAAGCATTATTGCAACGACAACAGGAAGAGCTAAGGACATTAGGCATTTTGCCTTAAATTATTCAAATTTTTGTTCATATGATTTCAAATACCTCTAAATTGTGCTTTGATATTGCTCTTTTTTCATGAAAAACAAAAGTGTATTTGTTTTTTCTTTTAATTCAAATTCAATTTAAATTTTTGTTTTATAAATGCATTGATAGATTGAGCGTAAATAATTTAACAAAGATCATCTGTATTTGCAAAAAATCTTTCAAAAATTCTATCAGCTTAATTATAATTTATTATTTTACATCAAAATATTGTAATGATAAACTTCGTTTTTCATTAATTTTATAGGCTTAATTATTTAATGATTTAATTAATACTGTGGAAATTTGATTATTTATTAACATTGAAATCATTTTATTTGTATATATATGCAGAAGAAAATAGAATTTTATTTTTTACAAAAGTAATGTCATTTGGTAATATTTTCAATTATGTCGTTTTTTTTTCTTTTTTTTTTCAAAATTTGTTTTGTTCCGTTTTTTTTTCGTTTCCTGTTTGTCAAAATTATTCATTTTATAGAAGTGCCAATTACTTACTGAAAACACGTATACATGACTGAATAAAGAATTATTGTCTTAATTTTAAAAATTAATTAAAGAAATTAATGAAATAAGGTGCAAGTAAAGTACAAATAAGGTACAATTATTACTGTTACACTTCAAATGCATGCAGTTTTTTTCTTTTTCCGAAAGTTGAAAAGTCTACTTCTAGGAGATAAATTAATTGTAAAGGTTAATTACTTGTAGTAACACGATTAAAATTTATGAATCATTTCTTATTCCATTACTTTACTTTTTAATCGAAAGATTAAAATGACAATTAAATGATCCAGAGAATGTTACATCGCGAATGATATTTCATATTTTTTAAAAATTTATTACTACAAGCCAATAACAGTAATAATAATAAGAATAATAACAATATAATAATAATAAGAATAATAACAATATAATAATAATAATAATAATAATAATAATAATAATAATAATAATAATAATAATAATAATAATAATAATAATAATAATAATAATAATAATAATAATAATAATAATAATAATAATAATAATAATAATAATAATAATAAT